TAAAATGTTCTTGAATTAAATTTATTTTTTTAATGTGTCTTGAATTCATTAATAATTTCATTATGAATTTTATATAATTTTTCAACAATTTTAATAATAGGTAATCAACTAATGAAAATAGCCGTAGGCCGTTTATTAAGGGAATCTTTATTAAGCGATTAAACTGAAATGTATTTAACTTTGAAGCCCCACTCGAAAGTATGAGCGACCTACTTTTTTTAGAAATGTCACTAAAACCGTCTTGTTTCATAATTTGTTATTTTTAAATGGGAACTTATTTCATTTTAAAATTTGTTTCATATGAAATAAATCCCCAAAAATGGGGTGTTATGTAATTTTAATTTAGGAAGTTATTTCATTTCGTTTGGGGTTTTTTCATTTTTAAATTGGGGAATTGTTTCATAATGAAATAAGTCCCCAAATTTGAGGACATATTTCAATTTTGTTTTGGGGAGTTATTTCATGACGCCATAAATATAATATAAAATACACATATTTAATAAAAAAAATTGTTAAAAATCTAAATGCTCTACCCCTCATATATGATCCCCTTCAAAAAATGACTTTATGAGATTTTTACGTTTAAAACAAATTAGTTATTGAACTGAGATTAATAGTAAATAGTTAAAATTTCACTAATACTGTAATCGTCTAGTGACAATGCAATATTGTGTTCGAATATTCGAAATTAAGTTCGTAAATTCGAAGTTATGTTCGAAAATTTGTTTATGCTCTTAAAATAGTCACTAAATCTTAAAAATTAAATTTTCGAAAATTCGAATTTAAGTTCGAAAAGAGAATTTAAAGTTGTGTTTTCGAAAAAATGTATGCTTTTAAAATAATCTCTGAATCATAAAAACTAAAAATAAAATTTTCGAAAATTCAAAATTAACTTCGCAAAAAATTTTAGAGTTAGTTTTATCAACTCTAAAATTTTTTGTAAACGTAGCCCGAATTGGTGAATAATTCCAAATATTCCTGAATATGTCCAAATATTCCGGAATCCACAAAAATATTATTAAAATTCAATTTGAGGCTGAGTGAGTATTATATAATAATAACAAATTTTTATTATAAAAATCAAGAAAAAAGTTTATTGAAGAAATCGATTAAAAAAGATCTGGGAAATATTTTGGTGCATTCAATACATTTCTTTCATACTGATTTTTTAAGCAAAAATTTCATGCATAATAATTATTTTCTGTCTCTGATATATATGATAACTGTTTACAAATTAATGGTTCAATAAGACTAACTCATTGTTGAAATTAATTGTTGACTATTATCTATTTTATAAGTAACAATAACATTTATTGCATTGTCATAACAGGTGAATTTTAAGAACTACAGTTTGTGCTAAGAAAAATAACAGAGCACCAGGTCGCGGTGATATTAGCTATGCATGATGCTATTAGCTATGCATTATGCAATATGCTCCTACTTGTTTTCTAAAAGAAAGACTCTATTCTTAGCCACTTATGTTTAAAAGAATAAATACCTTTGTTGAAGAAAGGCGATCCCAGTTGCCCAACAAGTTGCCGAGGATTGTCTCTGATCGACACGCTGTGTAAAATTTTCAATAACTATTTTAACTGATTGGGTTAATAAATTTAATATCTTAAATGAGTACTTTTGAAACGATTTCAGGGAACTATTTTATTTGACCTAGGTCTAAAACAAGGCTGTATATTAAGTCCAATTTTATTTTTTCTGATCGTTAAAAGGACTTTAAGGTTTGGAAGGAAGAGTAAGTATATTTATATTGATCTTAAATTATGTTTGGTTAATATGTTAATATGGATATCGACTGAAAGAATACTGTTATTCTTACGAATAAAATAGTTTTAATATGCCAATGTAATGTAATCCTTAAATATCCTTATTTCCTATAATATTTTTCCCTTTAAATCGATTTTCCAATGTAGCAAAATCCTGGTGAAAATGCTCACCATATTCTCAATAAAATCTAAGTTTAAAGAGCAAATGTTACGGTGTTTGTCCATAAATTTAATTTTTGGGAAATTTTCTTACCAATTGTGCTTGAAGTCCATGTTTTACCTTTGTATTTTTACCGTATGTTTGTATTTATTTTTTGTAAACTATCCAATAAACTTCTATAGAATTTAGAATAATTTTAAGCTTATCAATTGAAAATGAAATATCAATATTCTTCCGAAAGAAAGTATTTTTAGTATGACAAGATAAAAAATAAAATAATATCCTTAATGGGTTTTATTCTTTCATATCCAACAAAGTTTTCAACATAATTTTTCACCATTTCACAAATTATCAAATTCCATATTTTTATTATTTTAGCTAAAAATACGCTTTGAAATTTACTGATGCGATTTTTATCAATATATTATTTGGGCTAATTTAAAATATATAATAAAAATTAAAGAAATATGATGACCAAATTTTTAAGGTAATATTCCATTCCATTCTAATATCTTTATTATAAATATACTATTTGGAAAAAATTATTATTATAAAATTTCAATCATAATAAAGGATAAACATTTTAAATTATATTTTTTACATTATTTATTGAAATTTCTTTTCCAATTTCGATAAGAAATTCCAAGGATTAGACTTAAAAAACCGCTGTAACTTCTAAATTCCTAACAGCAAATATCTTTGAAATCTGTTATAATATGTATGATTTTGAATATTTTGCATTATACATAAAAAAAAACGATATAATACTCTGCTATGATTTGTTGTTTTAAAATTTTCAATATTTTAGGAACTATATAACTAAAATTGTCTTTCCTGTTAATAAAATGTATGATTATTAATATGTTGTATTTATACATTTTAAAGAACAGTAAAACGCAAACGGATCTATCTAACATTTTTAAAATTTTTCATTTAAAAGTTTGTTTCTATCAACGCGATTTATTTGTAGTCAATAAACAATTTTTTCAATAGTGAAACATCATTTGTTATGATAGTTGCCAAAGGTTTATATAAAAATGGATAAATTGGACTTTTTATTTTTGTAGATAGGGCCTTTTGTTTTTTATCAATAAAATCGATAATTATGGTCGCAGGATTTTTTGGTGTGGACATTTGCTTTGATGCAATACATTAGAATCAACAACAAAATCGATTTTTAATTTTTGGTTAGTTAGGGCCGTTTGCGTTTCAGGTGACGATATAATAGTCTGCTACGATTTCGTTTAAAAATGCTTTCAATATTTTAGGAACTATATAACTAAATTTCTCTTTTGGAATACCAACAATCTTGTTTGTAATAATTACTAGCTATACCCAGTGTGCTTTGCTACCCTAAAAGCAAAAATCCCACTTACACATGGGAGATGCCACTCAAATTATTGCAAGTTCTCCAATTTTTCCGAACGCTAATAAGTATTTTAATGTAAGCTATGAAAAATGTAAATAATTTTGTATTGCATTGAATTTAATTCATATGGGAGAGGCCAATCCCCCCATTGAAAGTCCGTCCATTTTTCTCTAAATGTTCACATGAATGTCAAAGTTCTTCATGCAAAATTGGAAGATTCTAGCTTCACAGTATCTCAGATATACAAATTTTCCTATATACAATGATGTTCCGAAAAATAGAGCCACCTCTTCTTTCGAAGTTTCTTTTTATTTAAAATCACTCCAAAAAAGAATTGAGTTGGAAAAACTAACTGAAATTTTGTATTGATCTGTTATGAATATAATTTTTGCAATAATTTATGCGTCGCAAACTGGCTCTATTTTTTGTCACACCATTTTATATAGCTTAATTTAAAATTTCATTAAAATTGCGAATAGCGACGCGTAAATTATTGCAAAAATAATGCTACTATATTCAAAACAGTTAGTTTTTCCAACTCTATTCTTTGTAGGAGAGATTTTAAGTGGTGACAAACTTTGAACGTGATGGTGGCTCTATTTCATCGAACATCACTGTAATTCATATGAGGGTTCCACGCCACACCTTGATGAAAGTCCGCTTTTTTCCCCAAAATGTTCAGATGAATATGAAAGTCCTTTTTGCAAAATTTTAGGAATCTAGTTCTATTAGTTTCTTAGATAAAATATTTTGTTTAATTCATATGGGAGGGCCGCTCCGCCAATTTATTACCCAAAATATTTACATGGATGCTAAAGTTCTTCGTGAATAATTTGAAGCTTTTAACTCTAATAGTTTCCAATATAAACGAATTTGTGTATTTAATTAATATGAGAAGTACCACGCCCCCTGCTCCTAGTCCGCCCACTTTTATCCTAACTAATCATATTGAGACTTATGTAGCTCCGACCAAATTTGAGGGCTCTAACTGTTACATTTTTCGAGATATACTGATTTGATAGTTTCATAATATGGAAGGTGCCACACCCACTATAGTCATTCCGCCCATTTTGTCCAAAAATATTCTTATGGATGTCAAAGTTGTCCGTGCAAAATTTGAGGACTCTAATTGTACCAGTTTCCAAGATATATGACTTTTAATAGTTATTTAATAATTAGGCGTGGCACCTCGCCTACTTGAAATTTTAAAATAAAAAGTAGCCTATAGTTCCTTCCAGATATACAGGAAGGTACTTTTAAAATTTCAAGAAAATCGGTCCAGCCGTTTAGCCGTCTATAAACTTCAAACAAACAAACCCACAAACAAATAAACACACACTCATTTTTTTATATATATATATATGTATATGAATACAATTTTACAGTCTCTTTATAAAATAAGTACAATAACCCAAACATTTTTCAAAAAATATAATAATAATTTTTTGAACGTTTTCGTTAGAATATCGTATAACGGAACTAATTTATTCATACCGCAAAAATGTGCATTAGTAGAACAAATAGCCTTGCCAAATTATTCGATAATTGCACCAATAATTCCCGACTTACGACAAAAATCATTTTGGTCTTGGAATTTTTCTTAAAATACTTAAGTAAACTATTTTGTCACATTTCAAGTGCTTTGAGACATTGAAGCCTCCGGAATTTTCATTATTTTATATCTAGGATTATATACTTACGTTTCATCAGTTTTTGAATTGCATTTAAGATACCGGGAGAAACATGAATGAATTGTATAACTGAATGATCCATACTCAATCCATAAAAGGGTTTGAAATCGGTTTAAATTGATGCAGCATTCGAAACAACGCAAAACTTCCTCACACTCTTCCCAAATATTTTGCATGCTATAAATAAGTAAACGTATTAAATTAGCCTCTGTGTTAAAAAAAATTAAAACAAATAAATATGTATACAGAAAAAATATCGTAGGTAATTCAACAGATTTCTTTATTCAAATCTATAGTATAGAAATTTTATTCATAGAAATGAATTTCCTTCAAATTAAATTATTTATTTTTGTTAAAATATAATCTGTTGGATTGAACAAATTTCATTAAATTAAGATCCAAAATTTTATTAAAACAATGATAAAAAAGCAATTCTTCAAATTTTCATGAAAATGAGGCAAAATATTCAGCAATCAATCTCGCATACATGATATAAATTTCAAAGACAAATAATATTTTTCGCAATTTTATAAAAAAAAAAAATCTGAATGCAAAACTGTATATCTTTTAAAAAATTGCTTTGAATTCTGGATAAGTGCATAATTTTCTGTTGCAAAATAAGTTATCTTACTAATTTGGACAGACTGAACACAAATCCGTCAAAATATTTAAAATCGGCCAAATGGTTTTCGAGTTTAATTTTATTGTCATGTTTAAACATACATACATACATACATACATACATACATACATACATACATACATACATACATACATACATACATACATACATACATACATACATACATACATACATACATACATACATACATACATACATACATACATACATACATACATACATACATACATACATACATACATACATACATACATACATACATACATACATACATACATACATACATACATACATACATACATACATACATACATACATACATACATACAAACATACATACATAAAGTGCTCATGCTATATTCTTTCAGCGAAAAATCTGTTAAATGATTATTCAATATGGATTTTTTAAATTTAATTAGTTTATATACAATGCTACTAAAATGACAATAAAACAAAATAATTCCATCCAAATGTTTCTGTATAACATACCAATTAAAGTAAATTCACTTTTTTGTCGGACAAAATAAAGTGTAAATTTTATATATCATTATTAAAATTTCTTGTATATCAAAATTTTTTATTTATTTTGATTCTGATTTGTATATCTGGATCTACTTAAGCCATTTTTGTAATTATTTTACCATTATTATTCGCAATCACTATCCGTTCCCCTTGCTTTCCCCCATACGATTATTTTCAAAAGAAATCCGTTTTTGTTCGCTATTTTAGAGGGAATTTTTTGATCAATTGTGGCCAAAAATTTATTTATTGGATTTAGGGAGATGCTCTGAGCAGGTCGTTCCAATTTTTCAGTGTTTTTTTCTTACAATGGTGTTTTTAACATTTGTCGTGTGTTTGAAGTCATGAATCTGTTGAGGCATTAAGTCTCCCAAACCCATTTTTACGGCATTTATTTCAAAATTTTTATTAAATACGCTCGTGAATTGCTCATTTGTTATTGTTTACTCCATTTTCAGTAAGAATCTCGCTCCTAAAGTTGAATAATGTACCAATACCGATAGCCCTCCACCATAATGTTTAAAACCTGGGGTATTGTTTTTAAGATTTTGTATATTGAAGGGCTTAACTTACAATCATTGTCGACATTTTAAAATTTTCGGTACAAATTGGGACTCATCTGACCAACTACGTAAATTTGAGCTAAAAAATAGAATATTAAACACTAATACTTTTAAATACGTTGGTAAAAGGTTGTAGGTATGAGTCAGTTAACTCTTCGTTTGTGTCCAATTTGTAACTTTAGGTGTGGGAAACCTAGGGAAAATTTATTCAAAAAGCTCCAGAGAACACTATGTGAGCATATTACAATCAAATCTTAAGATCAGTGCCTTTGAAATGGACTTGTGCAACTTTATATCTCGGCAAGATTACAAGCTTAAGCACTTGATAAAGTTAAAAAATAACATTACTGTAGGAAAAAATTGTACCACAATTGATCAAAAAATTCCGATGAAATAGTAATCAAAAACGGATTTCTTTTAAAAATTATCATATGGGGAAAGTCAGGGGAAGGGAAGGCGATTGCGAATAATAATGGAGAACAAAATGGCTTAAGTAGATCCAAATATTAAAATCAGAACCAAAATAGATAAAAAATTTTGATATACAAGAAATATAAATTTTACACTTTATTTTGACCGACAAAAAAGTGAATTTACTTTAATTTTAGATGTTATACAGAAAAATTTTAAGTACAATAATTTAGTTTTATTGTTATTTTTGTAGCATTGTATATTAACTAAATGATTTTGAAAAATTTTCATTATTCAATAATCATTTAACCGATTTTTCGATGAAAGAATATAGCATGAGTACTTTTGCACTTTATTTTGTCCGATAGTGTATATCGTCACCTGAAACGCAAACGGCCCTAACTAACCAAAAATTCAAAATCGATTTTAATGTTGATTCTAATGTATTGCATCAAAACAAATGTCCACACCAAAAATTGGACTCTTCTAACAAAAATTATCGATTTTATTAACCAAAAACAAAAGGCCCTATCTACAAAAACATTTCAATATTAAAGGTAAAAAGTGCAATTTATCGATTTTTATATACGCCATTGTCAACTATCATAACAAATGGTAGGTTTCACTATTAAACAATTTGTTTATTTACTACAAATAAATCGCGTTGATTGAAACAAACTTTTCAATATAAATAGTTTTTTGCTTCTCCTGTAAAATTTTAAAAATGTTAGATAGGGCCGTTTGCGTTTTAGGTGACGATATGTAACAACGTATAACCTTTGAGACACGAAATAGAAAAGGAGTTCTACATGAATTGCTCTCTTTAGAACTCTGTTCCTGGAGAGTTTCAGAGGAAATAAAATTTTCACACCACAAATACTTGGTATTTGAATTATTTATATCGAGTTCTGAATCTCCAAAGAATTTTAGGAATCCTAGGAAAATAAATAGGGCTGTCCTTAGTAGAAACTTATCCATCAGTTAATGATGTTATAAAAAATACTGAGGACATTGAAGATATCACAAAAAAGCTTTTAAAGCATCTTGTCCATACGGTATGCATAGGAACAAAAAGAACTGGAAAAACTGAGAAAAAGGGCTACAAAAGAATTATGTACTGCAAGAAAATATTATAAGGATAGTAAATGGTAATCACATAGAAATGCCAGGAATATAAAAAGCACATTAGCAAATCTAAGAGACAATATTTTACAGATAAATTAAATGAAATTGATACCATAAAGGACATCTCCAGATTAAGAAAATTTATGTCCAAACAGAATACCGTCCGGGCAATATTAAAAGGTATAATGATACTTGGACAACATCTGCATTTGGAACTTTAGAGACCCTTTTCCTAACACATTTTCCTGGGTGCAAAGTGAATTCAGAGGATGTAATGTTACCAACAATACATTCTGAGTCCTTGAACTCGTATCTTGATACCAATTTTATAATGGAGGAAAAAAAAGCTTAATTTCATGTTTCTAGGTTCAATATTATAGAAAATTCAAAAAGTACCTTTTGTACAACGAAAAAGTATCAAAAAGTCCTAGGAAACTTTTTTTGGGAAACTTTTGATTTTGCATGAGAGAGAAAGAGAAAGAATATCATTCATCTCTCTCGCGGTACGGAGTTTCTCGTACACGGAAACTTGTTTTGTTATTCTTCTCATTCAAACAACAACAAATCAATGCAATTAATACGTAGTTTCTGAAACAAAAGTTTCTATGTGTGGACATTAAGGAAACTTCAAAAGAAAATTAAGAAAAAGTTTCTTAACAAAAGTTTCCTAGTGTGGACCAGGTCTAGCTTCAATGTTATAGAAAATTCAAAAAGTGCCTTTTGTAGAACGAGAAAGTACCAAAAAGTCCCCTTTTATAGGTTCTCACTTAATCTGAGCTCGCTCTACATATGTACATATGTTTCATGTTTCTAACCAATAACAACCCACTGCTTCATTCGTAATTATTGTTCTTTCTTTGCTTCGTTTTTATACACAAGCTAGTACAATAACACAATTTACCATATGGTTATTAGAGGTGCACAAAAATATCAATTTTGCTCAAATGGCTTTTATTTTGTTCATTAGTGTCTAAAACTAACTGGTATTCAATTTTATCGAAATCGGATAACGGGAACCCGTGCCGGAAATCGATTAAAATAGTGAAATGGTAAATGGTATTCCTTTTTTAATTTCTTCAAAAATTGTGCCTTTAAAATTATAGTTTCTTAAAATGTTGATCAAATTTTATCTTCTAACCTCTAACTACCCATCGCGAAGGGTAGTCATCTTGACGCGATGCGAAGACTTAAGTGTGTTGACCCATGCAGGCCGTACTGGATAGGGTCACCCATACCAGAGGGGCTCATGGCGAGCACTTACTAAGAACTACCCCCCCCCCCCCAAAACCTGGTAGCGTCTGTTTCTCCCCTATGGGGCGGCTACCAGATCTCTTGGGTCTGCCGGGTGTTTTTCCCTTTTCGTGGCTGAGAGGGCACTCGGTAGCACCGGTCCGTTCTTTTTGATCCTATTGGATCTGTCCATCTGAACGTCCGTCAAATCCACCAGCGTCTGTTTTTCCCACATTGGGCGGCTTGGTGGTCTGCCTTCTCCATGTGGTGAGGCAGCCTCCAAAACTTGGCAGTAAGTAAAAAATGCAAACCCTTTTTATATGTCAAATGTCCGATAAAAAGTTGTGCCCCATGTATCCGGTCGGGGGCCTTACAATCTCCGGAGACCTTATTCCCGCGGCGGCGATTTCAGGTCGGGGTGAATCGAATGCTACTAAGATCCGGGCTAGTTTGGCGGCAACACCGGGCCAGACTAATCCGCGAGTTACCGGCAATCAATCACTGGCAGGAAAGGAGGAGGGGAAACCCAAATCCAACGAATGCCTAAAGAAAGCACCCCCTAAAAAGGGTTGCACTAACAAAGGTGGCGAAGTACCTCTGTCTTCTACCCCAAGTACTTCAAAGGCTGCCCAGGCCCTTACCGATGAAAATTCGGCCAATTCCCCTGTCTTGGGTACTGCTAAGGC